AACCGCCATCTTGTTGGCAGTTAACTGCCAATCTTAGTTGGCAGTTAACTGTCAATCTTAGTTGGCAGTTAACTGCCAATCTTAGTTTGCAGTTAACTGCCAATCTTAGTTGGCAGTTAATTTGCATATAGCCCTGATTAGCCAATGAAAAGGGTATTGGTCGTACGCCAATTACCATTTTTGTCTTTTATTAGATAGGACTAGATGTTGTTGGTTCTGTAAAACATCTTAAAAGTCTTTCTAAGATGTTATATTAAATGACATCTTTTTCTAGCCACACAGTTAATCAACTCAATATTCTGTGATACATAAGATACACATATTTATTATATATCTGTTATACACCAAAAAAATGTAAGTATATGTAGGATTTGAGAATTATATGAAAACTTATAAAATATATAATTTCTTCTTTCTGGAACCTATACCTATTTAAATGACTATTATTTCAAAGTAGTCTTTTGAGCATGGAAGTAAATAAAAATGGTCTTCTAAAAAAATAGTATCGCAATATAGGCAGGAATGAAGGGGACAGGCTTCAGTCTTACCGTGGAAGTAACTATAATGACCAGGACCTGAGTAATAATAAGTAGAATTGAGGTGGCTGTCTAGAGCCAGAGCTGAAGTAATATATTTAAGGTGTATTTCAATAGAAGAATTGATAGAACTTCATGTTTAATTGATCATAGGGATTAATATTTATACTGTAAAATGTAAATGAGCTTTTATTCATTGTTTTTGATATATGGATGTGGTGAATTTTTTATTCCCCTGAATTTTACATTATTCCTAAACTGCAACAAAATTTGTGAGATATAATAGTCTAGCATTAAATTTATTAAATTTTAAACCATCTCATGATATTTTGTTTAAACCTTAATGAAAATCAGCAGGGTATAAGTGAGATCAAGTCAGACCCAACTCAGTGTTTTGGTGCTTGATCAATGGCTGGCACTGAAGAAGATTTCTTTGCATAGCGATTGAATTATCACCGCTGTTAGCAGATGGTGCAATGAAATGCGCACTGTAATGTTGAGCCCATAAAATTAAAATGTGTTTTGTAGCACAGTGGAAAATTTTGAAAGGCCTATAGTTCCCTTTAAAATTGAGACTTTTTAATACTATAAATTTACATCTTTCTCATAGTATTGTCTTCATAATGTTGTCTTTTACTGGTGTATGTTGAAAGAGTTCTCAAAAGGGAATCTCAAATACTGTGTAATATGTAAGTTTAAAATGTTCACAATAATAGTACTGCATTTTTATCACATCTGGATCTTGTGCCATTTACACAGAAGATATTTTTAAATATTTTGTGATTCAATTTTGTTTTGCAGTGATCGATATGTCGGTAAAATTTATTCCAAATCCTCTTCCTTTCTGGATTATGTCAGAAAGTCTTTAAAGAAGCTTGGATTAGATGAGTCCAAGGTCAGTATATGATTACCAATTGTTTTCATAAAAACAGGAGAATTTCTATGCGGTAATGAATTGAGATAATATAAAATAATTTGCCTTCTATTTTTCTCTTATTTAGTGAAAACATTCTAAATTATATTGGAACCAAACCTCCATTACCTTTATTTCAGTTTACCTTTTAGGTTTATTCAAGGAAAAACATGCCAATCCTCAAATCAAAATGGGAATTCTAAGTAAAACAAGAGACAATGGCTTTAATTTTGAACTGCTTATATTTAATATATAGCTGATTATATAGCTAATTACAACTAAAAATCTTAAATTCAAAAAGCCTTTAAGCTAATAATTGAGAACATATTGTTGAAGACAAAGAGTTAAGCCAATTGACTACTACCAATAAATGTTCTAACACTGAGAAAAAAATTCTCAACATGATTTAAATGATTTATCTAAAATATTAAGTTTATATTTAAACTTATATTAAGTTTAGCTGAGGATCACTCTGGTATTTTGATTGATTATAAGTTGAAATAAAGAATAAAATATGGTTAAAGGAATGAACTATGTCTCTTGAAAGAGAAAATTTATGCAGATATGGTTATTTCAAAGCAAAAGGTTATTTTTAGTTATTATAACAATTATCCACTTACTCTCCAGTTGCTTTATTGCTTAAAGCAAGCAGACTGGTACAAAACAGTTTCCTCCCCCTATAAAATTACTATTTAAAAAAAGCATTTCTAACTCATAGGATTTAAGAAAGATTAAATGAGGTAAATACATAAAAGACTGAGTGAACACAATGTTTGTTCATAGTAAATGCTAACTAAAGAGTACTAGTTTTTATTCTGATCTTTGTATATTTACTACTTATCATGGCACCATTAATATGACTCCTATAAGTATTTTTATTAAGGCACCAAAATGAAGATCCTTCTAGTCTTGAATAAATTAACAAGAATAGACACTTTTATCATAGTTATTTTATTTCTAGGTTTTGTAAAATATTTTTAAGCAGATTGATCTTCCTTACTAATTTCATGTCTTGCATTTAATATCAAGATCACAAACCTACACATTATTTTCACAAATAAAGAGCTAAGTTTTTATTTAAACTAAAAATATATTATCCTTTGCCAAAAACCAAACAGTAAAAATTCAGAAAGAATGTCACTTATCCTTTCAGATGGCTTTCTCTTCCCAGATTTATCTTTAAAAATAATCCTGGTAAATGTTCCTTAATATGCTTATTTTGTTACTGATAAGAATATTAATAATAGTTCATGTTTACTAAGTACTTACTGTGTGATAGTTATGTTAAGGACATTTCAACTTTAACTCATTTATTCTTTTTTTCAATCTTTAATTTCTTTATTGATTAAGGTATTACATATGTGACCTCATTCCCTCCATAAACACCCCCCCCCACACACTCATGCCCTTGCCCCCATGTTGTCTGTTGGTTGGGCTTATATGCATGCATACAAGTCCTTTGGTTGATCTCTCCCCCTTACTCCCACCCTCTCCTACTTTCCCTCTGAGGTTTGACAGTCTTATCTCTGCTTCTCTGTCTCTGGATCTATCCCTTTTCATCAGCCTATGTTGTTCACTATATTCCACAAATGAGTGAGATCATGTGGTATTTATCTTTCTCTGACTGTCTTATTTCACTTAGCGTAATGCTCTCCAGTTCCATCCATTACGATCAATACTATTATATTTCCCAATGCAATGATCTAGAAAGAAAGGCTCAGAAAAAGGCAAATCAGTTTCCTAGGGTCAAAGAGCTAGCAAGTGGTAGAGCTGGAACTTAAACACAGATTCAACATGGAAACTTCAACATTACCCACCACCATACTGAGAAGTGAAATTGGAAACAAAAGTGAAAGAGACTAATGTAGATGAGTGTCACCGTATAAAAATTAGTCTTAAATGATTAACTTTATTAGTTAAGAAAGACAAAAATAGTGCCTCACTAATTTTCTCATTATACTATTGAAACTCATTGAAAACAAATATGTTGAATAAAATTGGTTAGAAAAAGAAAAGGAACAGGAAAATACAGAACAATATAAGGTGTTTAAAAGGATGTGCTGATGAGAGGAAGCAAATAGCTGAGTTTATGTAATTTGGGCTTTGTTTGTTTTGGGTATTTGGGGGGTTTTGGGTTTTTTTGGCCTGTTTTAATGTTAAGCAACAGGAATTAAGAAACTTGTGTTCATCGGGCCAGAATGGATGGGAATAGAATAAGTAATTAAAACTAGACTTATATTTCCAATCGAATACAAAGTCCTATTTTTTTCTTCCACATCATAAAGTATCAGTGTTAAAATGAAAGTTTTTACCACAAGCACAATAAAGAAGACACACACACACACACACACACACACACACACACACACACACACACATATATGTATATATAGTTTTATTTTTTAAATAAAATTAATTTTCTTAAAAAAAATAATTTTCACCTAGGATTCTGACTACTAAAAAGTATCAAAACCACTTAACTTTAAAAGAGTAAATTTGCCAAAATATTTAAAAGATCTTTGACTAAATTTATAATCATTTGTTAACAAACTGTGTAATTGAAAGTGTGGTGTTTCTGAACTTTTAAAGTACAGTACATTTCTTCATATTTAAAACTATGTAAGCAAATGAAGTTCCTAGAAAACCTCCTAACATGGTCTGAATACATTTTTAGTCTCAAGAAATCATGTTAAAAGTGGAAGTACACAGAGAACATTCACAGACAAATCATCATTCCAGAGACCAGAGCTGCCTGTGCTGGGTACAAAAGTGGCTCTCGACAGCTTAAAAGATTAAGTTCTGTAGTCAGTTGTGAAAGACAGCTTTGGACATTTTCTCTTAGAGCAGGATTTCTGAATCTCAGGAGTACTGACATTTGGATAATCCTTTGTTGTGAGGGGTGCCCTGTGCATTGTAGGATGTTTACCCACTAGATGTCAGCAGTAGCACCCTAGTGCTAATAATCCAAAAAAAAAAAAGCCTCCAGACATTGCCAAAAATGCCCCTAAGGGGCAAAATCAGCTCGGTTGAGATCCATGTTTGAGCATTTGTCATCTGGGTAATTCCATTTACAGTCATCTAACAGCTCCATTATAAACTCCATGTTTAAAAAATAAAATGCCATGTTACACCAAGAAGCTTGGAAAGGCGAAGGGGGGAAGAAGCAGTGATTTTGAAGACTTTTTATTCAAAATGATACTCTCCTGGAACTTTATTTATAGCCCTAACTACCTAAGGATGATACTGTTTCAGCCCCACAAAATGTATAAGTCTATTTAAGAAAAGAGTTTAGATTTTACAGTAAAGGTAAGCCCAACTCTATACTACTGAAAACAAATTATGGCAGAAAACCAACTCCTTATATCAGCAGGTATACTGTTTATTAGATGGATTTCTTAGAATGAAATGTTACAGTAAAATTCTTGTAAAGTTCAATTATAATTTTAAAACATTTTAATAGAACTTTAAAAATGTTTAAAATAAGAAAATCCTAGTGACAGGCTTTATCTAGACCTAAAAAAAAAAAAAAAAAAAAAGAGTTACTCTCTATCTTCTGTTCCAAAGTTTATCTCATCAAATTTCAGAAAACCTCCAAAATCATCTTTAAGGATTTATGTTTTCCTCACGATCCATAACACTTTATCTTCTTTTGTATTACTTTTCTGTCTTTGTCTTCTTCCCCATGTGAGCGCGCGTTTGTGCGCGCGCACACACACACGCGCGATTTTAAAAGCATCAGAACAGGTATTGTTTGCTAAAAAAGAAAAAGAAAAAAATGAACCATAGTATTGTCCATAAGAAGAGGGGAATAAAAGGTGCTTTTGTTCTAGAGCTTGTGTGTGTGTGTGTGTGTGTGTGAGAGAGAGAGAGAGAGAGAGAGAGAGAGAGAGATACACATGTAACAAATACTCAAATAAATGAAGAAATAATTTCAAGTATTGAATTGATGGAAGGGGGTTATGCTGTTGAATGGACAAAGTTGAAACCCACCAACTTTAGTGGAAGTAGATAGAGGATAATTCAAAAAAATATCTTCAGCCCTAACCGGTTTTGCTCAGTGGATAGAGCATCGGCCTGCGGACTGAAGGGTCCCAGGTTTGATTTCGGTCAAGGGCATGTACCTTGGTTGTGGGCACATCCCCAGTAGGGGGTGTGCAAGATGCAGCTGATCGATGTTTCCCTCTAATCGATGTTTCTAACTCTCTATCCCTCTCCCTTCCTCTCTGTAAAAAAAAAAATCAATAAAATATATTAAAAATAAATATTTTCAGATATTTTTCTAAAGCAGGTCAACAAAAGCAAAACTTTTCAGACCTAAATCATTTAATTATTCATCAACAGACATTTATTTTGAAGAATCTCTCATATGCCAAGAAGAGTGAAAACTGGAACTACAAAGATAATTAAGACCTAACCCCTGAGAGAAGAAAATGAATAATTGTAGCACGAACTTGTAATAAAGTACAGTGGAGGCATAGGGGAAAGGAGTGACTTACTTTACCTGTGAAGATTTTACAAATGACTTTGGTGCCTTAGCTTGGTCTTGAAGGATGCATAGGAGTTGGCTTAGCAAACAAGGTGGGAAGGTTGGGAGTAAGAAATTCATTTCAGGTGTGGGGGGAGCGTAGGACTTCTGCAAAACCACAGAGAAGTGAAAAACATGCTTCTGGACTCAGCGTTGCTGAAGCATAAAGCAAGTAAGGGAGGCAGTGGTGAGAGATAAGGTTAAAGAAAGGGCACATGTGGAGGCCAACTAAACTGATCTCTGGAAGTTAAATCAGCGGTTGATCAGGACTAATCATAGTAGTTTAAATACAGGTGGGAGGGCAGGAGTCGTTCCACAGTTGGCCAACAGCAGATGTAAGGAGCTCATAAACTTTTCTTGTGGTAATGTATTCTGTAATGATCTAGATCGAATGAAACCCTCTAACCCTAAGGAAACAGTGGATTCCTGATACAGATTAAATTTATGGAAAACCTGT